ATCCATCATCAGATGGTTCTTGTGTGATACCTGGCCATCATTTGGGACTGAACCAGCTGAGCTGTGTTCAATACTTTTTCCCTGTGCCATTCCACATTATTACAAATAACTTCATTTCTGGATATTTATGGTTTGATTTCTTTGTATGTATGGATCACTTGGGTTGTTACCGACATCTGGTGAAAATTTCATGTCATTAGCATCTCTAGTAATATATTTACTGAGAAAAATGGTGACGTGTTTAATACTTATTTTACCCGCTGTATGTGTGAAGAAAGTGTGAGTGAAGGAGAAATCATGCAGGGATAGGTAGGACATGCTTTGGTCTACTTCATGCTATACCTACAGCACATCGTGGGGTGGGGGTTGGGATGGGGAAATCACCCCACATTAGGAGTGTCAGCTATCCAATGAGACCTGTTCAATGACAGACTGATGGACAAAACAGACATGTGACAAACTTACAGCACAGTAGACTTTTGGGTAAAAAAACAAACAAACAAAATAATTTTCTAAGCAACCAAGTCTGAGTTAAACTTCTACACATCGATCTACACACAGAAAACATTTACACAAAAACACCAGTAATCAAAAACAGCACTGACCTTTGACCTCACATTTCTCAGCTGCCTGGATGTGTTGGACTTTTCTTTTTTCATAAAATCTGGATTACTTTTTGATTTCATGATGTCTAAAACACAATAAAAACAGGTCATTAGCATTAATTGGACTTCATGTGCACCAACAGTAAACTACATCCAACTTTGACTGGCTCAGTTTTAGGAAACTTTGAAATACTTTAACAGTTGCTATGAGGAATACAAGAGCTCAGCATTTTTTGTCCAAAGCTTAAGAACCGGAATAACCCTAAGAAGTTCTGGAAGACCACAAAGGCTTTATATAAAGATATAAGTCACGCAGAGCTCCCAACCTGTAGGTCTGAGATGCTCGATTGCTTAAAGAGCCATTTTAATTGCTTCAGTTCTATTTTTGAATTCCTCAGTTTTCCACTGAATATGCTCTCCTATGTTTGAACATCAGGTTGACTGCAGCTTTATCTTTCAACAGTTTTGGAGGTTCACAATGCATTCAATTAATATGACAGTTCTTAGATTTTCTCTGTTTTTTCTTTCCTTCCTCATCTTATATTTTAGATAGTGTTGTGGTCAAGGCCAAGACCACAGTGTATTGAGACTGAGACAAGACCAGAGGAAAAAAAAAGTAGTTCCCTAGAAGAAAGTGTATTCTGTAAACATGTAGCTAACTTAATATATAGAGCCAGTACTGACAAAGTCTCTGTGTATTGCTGAGTAGATTTACTACAGAGGCAGATTGCTAACGTTAGCTAATGTTAGTTATGATAAAAGTTTAACGTTGTCCCTACTGTCTCTGAAAGTGAAGCACTGCAGAATTTACAAGTTGCTGTACTCTTTCTTCTGGATGCTATTTTACAAATATATTCTTTATGATTTATGTAGCTGAACTGTGTTTCTGATGATTTAGCAGACATCTTCTCCTGCTCCCAAAGAACCACTGCTGAAGACCAAGACCATGAAAAAGTGATCTTAAGACCAGTCTTAAGTACAACACTAATTTTAGATATTTATTATGATGCATTTTATTACTTTCATAATTGTGTATTTTAAGTTTAAAACATTTGTAGGCTGCTACAGATCTCTCTTGGAAAAGAGATTTTTAATCTTAGCAAAATCTATTTAATTCGTYAAATAAATAAACCAACCCATGAAGTAAACAAACCATCATAAACAATTGTCTCCAAATAAACTTTCATATTCCTCTTGGCTGCATTGTTAGGAAGATACTTGTCTGAACCAGTAAATGTCTTTGGTCAAAAAATAAAAACGTTCTTATTATAATGTTTTTACTAACCGTATCCAGATGTAACAGAGTCATCGACCGTCCTCTCCCCTAAAGCTTCTGTGGCCATGAGCAGCTTCTCCTTGAGTTTGCTGATGTCACAGTCGGCCTTTGCCTTCACAATGCTCAGCTCAGTATAAATATCTTTGTATTTGTCAGTGGCGTATTTCTTGTCCTGGTAAAATGTTAAATCAGTGATAAATATTTACATGATAGGCTTTTTAAAAATGTGTGATTTTGCTTACCCTTAAAGCAGAATGCAGCTCATCCTTTAAAGAGTGGAKTTCCTGTTTAAGATACTGAATCTCTGATTCTTTTATTCGTAGCAGCACCTGGAAATATTGAGAAGAGTTTAGTCTCAAGAGCTCACTGTGTGTTTAAGTATGTGGTTTTAGATCTACAAATACCTCCAACTCATACACGTCTTTGCCATGGGTAAGAGGTGACAGAGCGGTTTCACCACTGAAGCAGGAACGCATCTGAGTGATTTCTGCGGTTAGTCTGTTGTTTAACTCCTGATGGACAGAGAGAGTTGCTTTTTTTTTAAACGCGGTGAACAGAAGCGTATTTAGACCTACAGCACAAGTTCAGGGTACAGGGATGTGCATTCTGACCTGGTTGTGAGCATTTAGCTCCTGGTTCTCTCTCTGACACTGCCTGAGGGCCTGCCTCTCCGCCTCCAGYGCCTGAGCCAGGTGAGCGTTCTCAAGACATTTCTGAGAGTACTGCTCTGACAACACCTCCAGTTCTCTCTGGATGGACTGCAGATCCTCCCTAAACATTGGAGGGTTAGGGTGAGCAGATCTCTTACATCTCTTACAAATACAGATTTTTTTCTACAGCTTAAAAGCAGTACAGTTGTAGTGTTGGGGTTTCTCCATTTTCAGTGCTTAGATCAGGGTTAGAATTTCTGACCTCAGACCAGTTTTTATAAACAAAGCAAACAAAAGATACACCGGCAAGATCTACAACCACGAGCTGGTGATTATAAAATAGATACTATTTATTACAGAAGTTTCAAGCAGATATATTGTAGCTCACTACCATCAGAGTGTGAATGAATGAAATGTAAAGCACTTTAGAGTTCGACAGAACTTGATAAAGCGCTATATGCGTTCGATTGTGAACACATCTCTATTTGACCAGGAATCACTTAGCAGCAAGCAATTTTAAAAGCAAAAAAGCAGGAGAGAGTAAATAGGCTGTTTGTGTCATTCCAGTGCTAATTCAACATTTTACAAAGTTGGATCTCAGCATGTTAATCATGACTGTGATTAAAGAAATACAAGCAAACATTTTTTAAACATTTCTCAACCCTTTTTTTTATTTGTTGGTCTTATTAGTTCTGCCTCCAGTTCCTGAAGAAACCAGTTATTGTTGGCTACTGTAGTCCTGTTTTGGTTTGTTTGTTTTTCATTGGGGCTAGATGCTAGAGTCTGTATTTCAGAAGCCAAAACAGATCAAACTAAGCAGGTACTGGCTCTGAACCAGTTTAGCAGAACTACTTTATTTTAACCTATTGTTAGGACCTGAACTTTTTTGGATCCGACAAAGTTTGACCTCAGTAAGCTCTGGTTGTTTGCATTCTTTAAAACAAAGTTTTAAATCAAGATAACATGAAACCTCATCTTGKACATCTTGTGTCCTTCTCATGAAACATACTCGTATTGTAAGCGGAGTTCATCAATGTCTGAGTTCAAACCACTCAGCTGGGAGCGCTGGGTCTTCTCCAGTTCCTCCTTGTGTGCGTTCTTCATCGCTTCAATAGCTATAAGCAAARCAAAATCCCATATATCAGTTATTAGTCTATCACATTTAAGCCTGAGTAAGCATGTGAAGGACAGTTTCCTTACCGGCAATTGTGGCAGCAGTCTCTTCAGCCAGCAGTCTCTCTCGCTCCTCCATGAGTTTGGAAATTTCCCTCTGATGCTGCCTCTGCAGGTCATCTATGACCTTTTGATGAGTTTCTTCCATTACAGCAAAGCCGCGCTCACATGTGGCCTGGAGAAAGACGGTCAACAATTGAGAAACAACAAAAAACAACAACATACATTCAACATCTACAATTTWGTTTATATTAGTTGAAATATCTACAATTAGCTCAGAAGATAGCAAGCACAAGTTAAAGATAGAAGCCAACAGTTCTCTTCATAATCTAAAGCCCACTTATGTTAGTAAAGCAGGTTAAAGTAATGAAGAAGATGCTCAGCATTTTAATTTTATTACAGAAAAAAATTAACTATTTAACTCTGTTACTGGATGAAAAAAAATGGTTTGATTTACTGCACTTAAAAGGATCCTATACAATTCAAAATGAGATAAAAAAAGTAAAACAAAATTTTCAAACTTAAAATTTAAAATCTAACTTGTTTTCATAGTGTTTATGTCACTATGCATTTCCTGATTGCTTTATCCAAGTCTTTTCTTTGGCTGAATACTCAAACACTATCTGCACAAGTTAGGATATATATTTCAGTTTTAAAAACAAGCACATAATTTGAGTAATGTAAGTATCTAACCTGTTGTTAAATATATTTCTTTTTAAATCAAACCATTTTCCAAATCCAAAACTATCACTATTCATTTACTACTCTCTTCTTCAAATTAATGTTTACTAAGATAAAAGGAAAGAACAAGAACCTTAAGACTTTCAAAGTCTCTTTGGTATTTCTCTTTCAGGCTGGCCACGTCTCCTTCAAGGTGCTTGTTCTCCAGCTCGTCCTTCATGCTATTCATCTGAGTCTCCAGCTCCTGGATGCGACCTTTCAGAACCACCATGGAGTCCACCTCTGACAAGCTGTGTACTTCCACCTCCTCTTCCATCGGTGTGGCAGTCTCATGACAGGAGGAAGAGTCAAAGACCTCAGGCCTTTCTTTGGCACACTGAAGGCTTTCCATATACTGCAAATGTATCTTATCAACCTCCTCTTTGTGGATTTGATGAAGCTCTCCCATCTTCTCTTCAAACTGCTCCTGCAGTTTCTTTATGTGACTTGTGTGGTGTTGTTCCATGCCGTCAATGTCGACCAGTAGAAGCTCGAGGTTTCGTTGGCTGTCGGCTGCTGTCTCCATGAGGGCCAGCTCTGTCGAGGCATGACTTTGCTCTGCTTGGCTGAGCTCGATCCTGTATCTCTGCTTCAGGTCCTCAGTCTGCCTCTGGAAACAATCCTCCAGAAGGGCTACTTGCTCTTGCTGTTGGGACAGCTCGTTTACACGTTTACCAATCTCACTTTTCAGCGTCTGGTTCTCCGTCTGGAGTAAGGCCACCGTGTGGGTGAAGTTCTCTCGCTCTTTTTGAACAGAGGCTTCGTATTTTTCTTGGATTGCTGCGACATTGCAGGCATGCTGCTGYACAAGAGCTTCCATATTTTGACTGGTCCGCTTACGCAAACTCATCTCTTGCTCGTGCATGACCCGTAACCTACAGGCTACGTAAGCCACTTGAGCCTGTATCAGGGCTTCCCGCATACACAGAGAGGTGCTCGTCAAACTGTGTGATGTCTGGTGCCCTAAAACAGTATGGATCATTTTAGAAAGCACAGGGTGACTTTCACTGCTTTCTAACTCTTGAGCAAACTTGTGCAGGACTGCAGCTTGCCTTTGAAGCTCACTAGCCAAGTTTTCATGAGCATTTTGAAATGACTCAATAGACTCAACACCACAAGAGGGCGTGACGTCAGCCAAGTGTTTGTCGACGATTTCCTCAGCTAAATCTCTAGCTTCGTCCTTTTCAATCTGGTCCATGTAAGGAGCAAGCTCAGGGGGTTGAATGTCAGCCAACATCTGTTTACCAAACCCAAGGTTATGTTTGACCTCTTTAACCACAGCCTTTAATTCAGGCCTTTTAGAGGCATCAATAATTGCTCTCAAAGCCATTTCCCTTTGATACAGCCTATTATGGGCTTCAGTCAACTCCCTTTTCAGCATTTCAAACTTCTCTTCATAGCCAAGTTTAAGACTCTGAATTGAGTAAGCCAGTTCTGCTTTGAGGAAGGTGTTGAAGACCACAGTGGCATCAATGTCTACGTCAACAGATTCACTGCTCTGTTTAAATGAAGCAGCATCTGTCTGAGCTCTCTCCACATCCTTCCAGAATGCGCCTTCCAATATCAACTTCCTGGTTAAAACATCAGCRTAAACTACAGCCAAGCAATCCTTTTCACTCCTTTTAATGTGCTCCAAGTCCTCCCATATCTCAACAAGAGCTTGTTGGAGGTCAGACTTTGAAGTTTGTATTAACAAAGCCATCTTGTTTAAAACCACAGCTTCAAACGACAGCATTTTGGCAAAGAGGAGCAGCGCCTCACTATCTCCAGTCTCTGGGGGTTGATTTTGATGGATAGCTGGTGACTGCTCTTCCAGCGTCTTTTGGCCTTGTCGGATGTGCAGAGAYGCATTCAACAAATCATTTTCTATCTCAGACAGCGAGTGCAGCTGTGAATCCGTCGTGCCATGGGAGCCGGAAAGAATTGCCCTCACTTTCTCTCGACCATTTTCAACACACACCAGGGCCTTGGTATAATCCTTAAAAGCAGAACCACTCTTTGTTTCACTGCAACCAGTAAACCCTACGTCTGGGCAAGGCTTGTTTTCTGACATATTTAAATCAGAGCTGGACATGTCATCAGTTTGAGTGAATTCTTGCACATCTAAATTCTGTGTAAGATTTCTCAGCTTTTCCTCAGTGGCAAGCAGTTTAGTTTCTAGAGCGTGTATGATAGAAATAAACTTTTCTGGGTCACTAGTATGTGGAGAAATGTTCTCTTCAGTTAGGTGGAGGTCTACAATAACATTGTGGTTACTGGTTTGTTCTTTGTCAACGAAATGACTGCTCGCATGGCTACTGTCCACGTCTTCAGGACTGATATATTTTTGGCACTGAATATTGGAAAAACGAATTCTTGGTCTTTTAGCTTGAAAATCCTTATCTGAAGAGTTCTCAGTTCTAAAAGCATCATCATCAGAAAACTCCACATTTGATGTATTAATTCCTTCCTTCTTATCCTGTTCTGKGATTTGATCCCTTTCCATGCATAGATCAGCATAACCCAGCTGGAGAGCATTGAGGTGCTGCTCTAATTCTGCAATGCGGTCCTCTGCAACCACAAGCTTGGCTTGCAGATCTTTTTCAGCTTTGCAGGRCTCAGCTTTATTGATGAAACTTTGACTCATTTGACAAAGGAGCTCCTCTTTTGCTTGCAGCTTCTGTTCAGTTTGCTCCAAGCTGGTGCCAAGTGCAGTCATTTTGACAAGAGCCTCTTTCAGGTCCTCCTCTTTTCGTTCCATTAATCTTTCATACATCTCCTTAGTTTGTCGAATTTCCTCTTCTTTTTCTCTAAGAAACTGGCTCATTTTTTGAAACTCGTGCGTAGCTCTCTCATATGAATGCTCCAGGGCATAGTAATCGGCTTCTTCAGTTTCCAGACGATTACGAAGCTTGTTCACTTCACGGTCTGCCTCTGAGATCTGGTTCAAAAGTTCCTGACAGCGACACGTGAGATGGCCTTTTTCTTCCTCTAGCCTGCGTACACTTTCCCTCAAYGACTCAACTGTGCCGGTTTTTTGTGACAGCTGCTCTTGCAGCTTCAACATCTCCTCTTTGTATTCTTTACCACCTGAGGCCCGTCTCCCTCTCAACAAGGCCTCAACCTGCTGCTCAGCCTCTAACAGTCGGTCTTCTACTTCCCTCTGTGAAGTTTCTGCCTCAGCTAATCTCCTACTCAGATTCTGTCTTTCCTTCTCGTGACTCTCTAGCAAGCCTAGTTGCTCAATCCTCAGGCGCTCCTCCTTAAGTGCCAGACCCTCTTCAGTAGCAAGTAGTCGAGCTGATACCTCCTGCAGCCTCTCCTGCAATCTTTGTATCTCCTTCTTGTGGTCTCGTTGCAGGGCCTGCTGATGCTCTAGGTGCCTGAGGGCCTGATTTCTTTCCAAGAGGTTGGCCTCAATTTCACGGAGTCTGTCCTCGCTGTCCTTCAGCTGGGCTCGTAGGGTGGCCTCGTTGCGTCCATATTCCTCCTCCTGCTCTTTTGAACGCTCCTGCTCCAGTTTGAGCTCGTTGCGCATTCGAACTAAAGCCTGTTCACTAGCTAAGATTTCAGCCATGGCAGATGCAAGTTTAGCCTGCAGAGCCTGAATATCAGCCTCGTGGCGGTCAACAGCATCCTGAGCTTCAGTGTAACTTCTCTTTAAAGTACGGATTTGCTGATGCGTGACATCCTGCTTGCGCTTTTGGGACTCCAGTTCCCCCTGTAAGTCTTGATTCAGCTTGTGCAAGTGTTGCCATGGAACTCTGTGAGGTGATGAGGAAGGAGGTGTTGCGCTCTTGAAAAGATTGATGATACATTGTCATTAATGACATCACTTCACTTTCCCTATGGTTTAAGGAGAGCCACATCTCGAGGATTATCAGGGAGGTAAGTTCTCTCTTTATTTGTAAAAATCTTTCTTACATTTTTTGAAAAATTTCCAAGCTTCCACTGTGCTTTTTCAGGGGTTGCCGACAATCATATCGTGAAAAGAAAAAAAAAAACTTAAAAAAAAACTAAAAATAAGAAACCCCAATAAAACCAAAAAATGTGTTTTTAATGTTTTACACTTTTGGTGGTATCAAAACAATAAATATTTACATCATTGTAGTATAGAAAACTACACAGCAGTGGTTAAAACATGCAGTTCTGAAACAAAAAGCATGCAGAAACAAAAAGGGGAAAAGACTCATACAAACAGAAAGAAAAAGCACAGCAAAAGGCTTTTTGATCAAGTTTCTTACCCCAAACTCAACAGATCAAATCAGTTATTTTCCCAGGAGATGTGAAACTCCAAAATAAGTTAATGAAAACTCATGCTATAAACACCAAAACCATGCGTTTCAGTTTAAGAGAATAAGCACCAACACCCGTTAGTAGAACTGTTTTATACTGTATTATAGTCACTGCAACAAAGAATCTATAAACAGCAGACTTCATAACAAACACCTTCATATTACTTTACAAGTAAAAACCATTTGTCCATCTGATTTTAATTCAACTCAATTACATCATACATTACCATTTATTAGCAGTGGATTTTGACAATCAGCACATATAATACAACACAATGCATATCTTACCTGCAGGACATATCCCTCTCTGGCACTTTGCTCTCTCCCAAGTGCATTTTCCAGTTGCTCTTTTAAAAGTTTGTTCTGCTCCTGTAGTTGGTCCAGCTCCTTTTGCTTCTGTCCCAACTGGAGGGGGAGGGTGGGGAATAAATAAGAAAAATTTAAATGAACAAAACAAGCCGTGTCAGAATTGTTATTCAGCCCAGAGTAGAGGTTTTGGAGCAGGTAAGGTTTCCTATATTTGGGTGGGACACGATCACACTTTCAGGCTGACTTCATCATACAGACATGAATAAACATCGTGGTTGAATAACTTTAAAATACTTTAATCCCAAACATGTATTGACCATAACAGAACAATCCACAATGTTTTCATAGCATTAGTTTTCTAATTAGACAAATTATCTCTGGAGTTTACATTTTCAGTAGAATGCAGGCACTATTTTATGTCAGAAGGGGACTAAGTTAAACCAATAAGACAACATCAATTTTGAGAGCTCTGTCTGTTTCTATTTATTTTGTCAATCAACCCAAACAGACCAAGAGTCTTCACCTAAATATTTATTCTCCAAGATCCAAACAACTATGGCAAAGCACAGAACCCAGACAACCCTGAACTGTCCCACCACTTACAATGTATGTATGAGACCACACTGTGTAAACACACCTCCTTGTCTAGCAGCGCAGCAAGCTCATGTGCAGGCAATCGCTCAGAGTCTCCTAGAGTCCGAATGATTGGCACTTGCTTTTCTTCTCTTAATGGTGTCGTCTCCACCTGATGCCACCTTTGTTCAATTTCTTCTTGGACATCTGAAGCTATGCCATCTGTTGCATCTTCACTCTTTAGGCAGACAGCAGCAGGGGGGTCTACTTCCATTTGTCCTTGTTCCTGGCTGTCAGGTACCAACGGTGCAGTGTTAAGAGTTGAAATAACAGAAACTGTTTTTGGCATAAGACCTGCACTGGTTGTATTGTGCAATGAGTTGTCTCTCCTAAAATTTTCCTTTTCTGCTTCCTCTTTCATAATATGTGGCTGAGGACCCGATACAGATGAGGTCTGCAGGGAGGAGGAAGACACAGGGGAGGATGCCAACGAGGAAGGAGAAGATGAGGGGGAGTAGCCGGAGGAAGCTGTGGAATATGATGAGCTGAGGTCAACAGTGTCCGCTCGTTCTTTTGCAGGCTTTTCTTTGCGTTCCATTTTAAATTCGGCCCAGTCAAACGTTTTGGAGCGGCCATCTCGTCTGCGTTCACGGACTCCTCTTTTACGTGGCTCAGAAGGAGGGGTGCTGCCTGGCAGATGTTTGTGGTCATCAGATTTAGGTATCTCAACACTTGGACCAAGGTCAGTAGTTTGAGGACATGGTTCCAATGTCACATGACCTTTTATCTGTTCATCAGGGATGGATCTGAGTAAATGAAGACAAGTGATAAAAACAGGTTAATAGTCAACTGAAGTTCTTAAAACCTGACGGCTGGATACTTAACGTCAGCTCAATACCTTCAAATAAAGCGGTGCAGGATTAAAACAACAATGCATCAACATTTCTGGTAGTGCAGCTTCAGTTAACAAAATTTTCAGGGTTTCTGCAGGGTCCAGCCTAAACTTAGTTTAAATCATCTGATTCCAAATCATACTGGAAATGTTATTAAAGCCACTTCAGGGATTCAGAAAACAAAAATGCCCATTGTTCTTGTCATTCCTGAAGTTGTTTAACACAAATGTGGAAAAGAAAAATAGGGATAGATAGTATCATTTCTTTACTTCTTTTAACAAGCTTGAAACACATCTACATATTGGAAAACAAATCTTTAGTTGCTCTGTAATGTAATCCAAACAATAGAAAAGTTTATTTTTTCTAGATGCTTTTTAACCCTTAATGTAATGCTGCAGAAACAAAAGTGCGCCGACTAAAACATGCATAAAATTGTTTCTTTAACACCTAATAGTACGCTTTCCTTAATATTACATACATTACCTGTAACAGCAGTAAAATTGGAATGAAGGATAGTTTACAGAAACGTAGTGTTGTTTTCCTCACCTGAACTCATTAATGTAACCAGAGGTGTATATAAAACTGCTTTATTAAGTTGAGAAAAGTACATTCTGATCTGACTCTGGGTATCAAATTCTTATCTGATGCTGCAACACTCAAATGTTTAAGGACAATGCTAGAGAAAGAGGGACGATACTTTTTATTTGACCTGCAGATACCCTGAGTTAAAAACACAATAAAGCCAAGTCAAAGCATTAATACCTAAACATTTATAGAGCAGACAGTAGGACTGAAAGCAGCTTTCATGATCAGAGATAAGTGTGACTGCAGACACTAATTTTTAGCCTCTATTTTACTGCAGCCTAAAAAGGAACTAAATTCGAAGCATTTATTTGCAGTAAACTGCTTCCTCATGTGGTTCTGCACTTCTGTGGTTAAAGTGTAATGTGACAGGAAGGGAAAAGCCCCATGAACGAAGTGTAAAGGTGTCATTACGTGTGAGAAGTAAGTGTGAGAAGGGTCAGTGATGAAGAGCAGAAAAATAGTTGTTAGTTTATACAGAAATACACTAGAAGTGCCTGAATGGCAAACTAGCAGTAAAGTATGTGGGGTGCAAATAGCATCATATGTAATGTGCTGCAAGCTGATCCCCCWACATAATCAAATATTTTTCTGTGGATAAGCTGAAATTGTGAACTTGTACTATAAACCTTTCCAAAGCCACCTGAGCTGACAGTCACACTGCAATGATGGTTAGCATCAGTCTGTGGTGTTGGGCAGATTATTCTAGTTTGTTGACGCATGTTTCTGCTGTGGTATAACTGACAGGGAGACATTAATCACGTGACATACGACTGGATGACAAACACGCCGGAGCGGACATTGCTGAGCAATTACATCACTGTTTGAGGAGGGAGAGAATTTCAACACACAAGCACTCCAACCTGGGCTTCAGAACGGACAGTTTCAGAGAGATGTTTTTCCTGGAAGCAGGTTGAAAATACCGATTGAGGGGAAAAGAGAAAGAATGAAAGAGGGTGAGAAGGAGACAGGAATTCAGATAAATAAAGTGAGAAAAATCAGCTGGTGCATCTGCCAGAGGATGGTGTTAATCCTGCCTGGGTATTACCGGGTGACGTCGGGGGCAATAGTGGGTCGCACATTCTTCATAATGGCCTGAATCCAATTGCGACGGATTCCAGAGGTCATAGCTGACAGGGTGCACGCTCCCTCTTTACACTGAAAACAGGCAGATATTTCAATGAAATGACTGACATGCAGAACAAAAATATCTTAGCATTGTTTATAGAAAAATCTAACTTTCTACAGCTTAACACCGTCATCTAAGGACTGATTTAAAAAAAAAAAACAGAGTTGYTGTGTCTTTCCAACACTGGTGGAAGTAAAATGTATGTACATTCTCTGCTAATCCTCAAAGTTTAAATAATTCTAGCTAATATTTAATAAATGTTCACTTTAATTCCTTCATTGTTTATTCTTCAAGTTGGAACTTTTTCATGCTAATATTTATTAAATATTCTTTATTTTTATAAAACAGTTTGACAGAAAATCCTTTTTAAGTTTACGTCTCTTAAATAAATCACTTTATACTTTATAAGTAAAGCGCTTAAAACTAAAAGCTTGTGCCTTTAAAACTGCACGGTATAGACTGGTCTCAGAGCATCAAAGCAACACACTGGAGAGAAACGTCTTAATTTTCTAAGTTTATAACTACCATCTAATCTTTAATATCAGGGAGACGAAGGAATCAAGTTGAAGATTAACTCTGTGTAATCTGAAATTTATTAGTGCTACTGGCATACGCTTACACAAGACATGTTGTGCAACTGCTTACATCGAAAAATTATTCAGCTTAGAAAATGTTTTTTTAAAAAAACCAATGATTTTTAAAGTCTCCACTGAGTGCCTTTTCGTGTTATTATTGGTATTTTAGTGACAACTTCTACAAAACCACCAATTTGTGCCATAACTTCAAGGCAAACCATAAGATTTAATCTAGTGACTGGTTCTTAACAGAAATYAAGATTTAAAAACCGCACGAAGTAGCACAGTTAATGAAAACAGTGTTGATCAGTCAGAGTACAGAGAGTAGATATGAACACCAGGGTTATTATTTTGGACACCAAACCCGTGTTCTCAGCCAAAGCAACAACTATCCTTTTCACCACTCTATTTCTGACATCCTCCAGACGATGGCTGTGAAAGCAGCTTCAAGCTAATGTAAACAAATGTGACGACCTTATAACCATTAGTCATTGTTTCCTTCAGGGAGGATTAAAACGGTGAGCTTAAATACACAAAGCAATACATCAAAACATATTTATTGGTTTATTTATGTTAGCGAAAATCTTTAGACAAAGACCGGGCTTCCTAATACGAGAGGTTAGGTCAACATATTGTTCAGGATAAAAGCCAAACTGGTTCAGGGAGACCGTTAGGAACTGGCAACAGCTGCAGCAGATTTAGACCACTATGATGTAAGGCTCTCACAGAGAGATGACAAGTCAAGTGACATCCTTTATGTCAGACAAATAAATGACAATGTCTGATACCCACAGTTACAACACAGGGCTGTTTATAGACTGGACGAAAACAGAGAAGCTAAAATGTTTACACAAGTGTCAAATTTACYATATATGTCATAGAAACAACTCACAAGGATTTGGAAGCCATAATTCCTCTGGACTGGAAACTCTTTGACATCGTAACACGTTGAAAGGTCAATCTCACCATCCAGTTCTGAGGCCTAAGAAAATAGATGTTTACATGACTGCCTATTGATTTAAGTACAATCTCTTCTGGACAAACCTTACCTCCTCGGCTATTGAGTCCTTATAGTACCGCAAGCTCTGATCTGTCAGAACAAACCAGTGCTTCTTCCACTAAGGATAAAAAAAGGGTTTTAATTGAATTGCATCAGTTCGTTTAATGAGCACTAGACTGATTTAACTCTACCATAAATAACACATTACCATTCCATCTTCATAAAGCTTTGTCATCCATCCTTTTTTAAAGTTCAGCAGATCCGGCTGAAATTAAAACATGAAGGAATGCATTATTATGTAATGCAGCTGGAATAATTCATTAAGCCAGTAAGAACTAGTTTAAATAACAAGCACAAGAAAACTAATTGTATTTCGAGGAAACATTTTGTACTTYTATACCTACTGAAGTTAAAATGAGTTTTAGTATTTGTTCTTGATATATTCAAAAAAGTGGCAACTCGCCAAATGCTATATTTATGTGCATTTACTATTTTATTTATTTATTTGTTTATTTATTCATTCATTCATTCTTTTTGTTGTTAGGCAATTTTCAAAGCTAACAATTATAACTGCAAATATGTGGCTTCAGCCACAGAGACTAACTGTCAGGAGTTGAAACACAAACTACTGCACGTTGAAACTAAGCTCAAGTCTGTTTATAGACTCCAAAGCAAAGCATTCAAATAAAAGCTGGCCTTTGATCACTCAACAATACCTTGTTTTTGCTGAGCTTCATCCGGTGTGGTGTCACCGCCTGGCAGAGAGTCATTCTGATGGCTAACTGCCTTTAATTCATATGTTGACAATCTGTTTCTTTCTGTCTAACTCAGGGACACACACATAACTCTGGTTGCTCCTGTGCTGGTTATTTATAATCATCAGTAGCAGTGGCGGCAGTGGTGTGTGTAGACGTGTGCATGTCTGTGTTGGAGTGGGTGGGGATTTGGCAGCTGCAGCTCGGCCAGAGAGGGAGAGAGAGAGAGAGAGACAAGCCACACACTGACTGGGTTACCCCTCAGCACTCCCTGAACAAACCACAGATCAGACTAGCAGGAGTCAGACCTCAAAAAGGCACCAAGGCAATCTCAATCTACTTGAAGGACACATAAATTTTATTTGCAATGACTAAAAAGAAAGTGGGGAAAAGTGCACTGCAAGCTGAAATCAACTGTACCTCTTCGTAAGCAGCCCACTTTAAATCAGACAACTTGAATAAAAACAAGTAGGGGTACAACAACTAATCAATACAATCGATAAAAATCGATTATTAAAAGTATTGGCAACAAATTTCATTATTGATTTGTTTTGCAGGGCAATTTATGATGGTATTAAATTAATGATTAAGCTTTAAGTTTTAATTTGATGACAATGTCTGAGTCTTAACCTAATGATGCAAATTAAACAAGGAATTTATTGAATTCTTGTAATAAGAGTCTGTCTTGACTGAAAGTCTTCTTAACATGATCAACATGAGACTGTCCATGGTCAAAGATAAAGACTTCACTATAATAGTTCACACTTTTATTTCAGGTTACACTCTTCCCTCAGGGACATATTGTACGAAGCTTAAGGAGAGAAAATATGAAGAGACTTTCAAGGATATAGCACACATTTGTGTGTATTCATTTTTTTTACTGACGCTATTACAAATATTTACTTATTTATGCATTACAATTTAATATTATAGTAACAGCATTCTCAAGCAGCAACCCGTTTTTTGTGCGATTTGCTATGTCAGTCCAAATTTTCTTTTCTTTTTTTTTGTTTTACAATGCAATGACTAATTAAAAATAATAATTGAATGATTAATCAGTTATAATAATAATTGTTAGGTGCAGCCCTAAAAACAAGTTTATCACAAATATGCATTATTGTTAAAGACAATAATATTAGTAATGTTAAATATGTTCAACTCTTGTTTCCTGATTAATTCTTGTATATATTAATACTTTAACATAATTGTTAATGTTTGTTTGTACCCAAGTTAAAGAAACATTGCAATCAATTTATAAAATGTAATCATGGTTTTGTTTGAGGTTTAAAAGCTAAAAGAAATTATCTAAAATTATTTGACATGAAMCTAATTTTTGAGYGTGCTGATTGCAAAGTGAGAAAAAGAACAATTTAGCTCACAAATGTAGGGAAATAGCATTGTTTTCTACAGAGTTGGTGAGTCTGATGTTGAATGCTGATGGGATTTTGTCCTCCAAACTTACAGTCATTGACGACTCTGTGACTCGACGATCCAGTGACTTGGCTCTTCTTAAATTGGCAAAATTGGAGCTGGAAACATCAGGGGCTAAACAGTCCTTCCATGTATCCAGTGACATCTCCTGCACATTTAAAACCATTAACTGATTTGAATAAAACTCAGATTTTACCTCAGTAAACTGCTAAGCCTCATGATTATTTTTGCCCATGTTTACTGATTATATGACATACATGTTTGCCGTCCAGATAGCGCCTCTCGCTCCGGCCTTGTCTCTGAATCGCTGTAGGGTTGACTGAGGGCTCAGTGGAGCTGCTGGTATCCATACGGTCCGTATGTTGACCCTCCTCAAACCGACCAATGATTTGAGATCGCCTGAAAGACACACAGCAAACACTTCAAAAAACATTTTGTTTCAATAAACAAAGTGCACAGCAAAGACTTAAATTATTCTTAAAAATACATCAAGATGCAGCATAACATACTTAAATGGTGGCAGAATGAAATAGTAAAAACAAGCTCAGAGCGTGATATAAAAAGCAATTTTGAGCCAAAATGTCATATCCAATAAAAGATATAAGAAGTTTCAGTTTATGAAGAGTTTTGTACATTCTAAACTTTTTGATACTTGTGACAGAAGAGTTAATAACCCAGAGAACCGTTCAGAGATATTTAAAGAGTGAAGTTATACAATGAGAGAAAAACTTTAGAAGAAAAAGGAAATGACTAGAATGGGATTGGATTAATAACTGGATTACAAGAGGTAGCAGGAATGACAACACAGTCAACATTACCTTAAGACACCGCACTTGTTCAAGTGTATGTATGTGAAAAATGAGAAGAAACATTTAACTGGAGGGTACAAATCAACCATTTGTGAATTTATAGTACACATAGTAAATGAAATATGTTTTGTCTGAACAGTGCACGTGTGCTCCCAGGTGGTGCAGAGATGAAATGAGAGAAAGCAGGAATCAGCGGTGACCAGCAGGGAACAGCATTGGGACAGGGGTGGAGGGGTTGGCTGAGCATTAGCTCTGAGAAGCTCCTGGAAAAGATCGAAACAACAAAAGAAAGTAGCAAGGCAGCAGGAGCAAAAGGTATAGATTGCTACAACATAAAATTACATGTGAATTTACTTTTACCCCAAAACCAATAAAGTTAAACCACTGATAAGATAGGATAGGAAGCAGTAGCAAAAGATGCTCAAGAAGTGCCTCAAAGACAGCAGCCACAGGGTGGTGCTAAATAACTACAATGCCGAATGTTTCAAGCAATGCATGATCTATACATACAGTAACTAGGTAGCATGCCATATAAAGGGTTTTACAAATATTACAAAGGCTAAAAACTAGTGGTTTAATAATGATAATCATATTCACATCAGTAACAAATGTACAAAGATTTCTCCAATCAACTGTATTTTTACAGGAGTTTCAGTCAAATATTAGCATCAAAGAGTAGAAAACTGGGCATGACACTCATTCTTACCTGCGCTCCTCCCCAAATAGTCGAGCCACCTCCTCCCTCCCTGGACTCCGTGTCCGTGCCCTCAGCTCTTGGCGCTTTTTCTCTGAGCGGAAAGCTTCTTGGTAGCTCAGTATGCGGGCCCGGGGCACGTCCGACAGTGCTGTGTACTCCCTGCCAGACCGGCCAACTCTGCTTCCTCCACTACTGACACTATGGGTGCTCTCTCCACCACCACTGCGCCCCTCCCAGGCAAGCGAAGCCCCGCTGGGTTCAGATTCCAGCGAGCTCTGGGAGGAGCTGATGGTGGAGTAGGACGGGGAAACGAGTGCATTTGGAGAGGGGAAAGGATCCTGGGAGGGTTGATAAGGGGAAATTAGGGGATCAGATTCAGAGTTGTACCTGGAACTGGGAGCTCCTACAGAGGAGGATGAAGCTGAAGAGGTCAGGGGCAGACTCTGGGGGGGCTGGGAGTGATGTGCAGACTGCGGAGAAGGTTCTGACTTGGTCTTCTCCAGGGAGAAGTAACCACTTTCCACTCGTACCTTTCGCCCAGTGCTCACAGTGTGGCCATCTGAAATATAACCACGGCACCACTTATTTGACAAATCTTGTCTGGAAAACCTCAACCGCAAACACTTTTTTTAAAGTTAGCCATGACCAAAAAAAATAAATAAATGCTTTCTTCTTTAACTTAAAACAAAAAGTGAGATGTGTTGTAGAAGCTGCATGCCCTCTTCCTCACCATCTTGAGTGGTGCCACCGGAGTCTGTTTGGCTTTGGCTCAGCTGGTTGAGACAGGAAGCACTGCGGCTGCAGGGGATGGTGGCCCTGCTCCAGCGGCTCTCCTCCTGCCACAGAGTTGCACGGCTCATCGGGACCCGCTCTGCGCTGGCAATGCTGCTGGTAAGGCATGGGATGCTGCCTCCACTGCTGGTCACTGTTACCTTAGCAGGTCCAGGCTCCTGGGTTTGATTCGGGAGGAGTGGATGGGAAGAGTAAAGGACATAATGGGAGGTAAGGTCACGGAATGACTACAAAAGGGAATGTGAGAAAGAACAGGATTAAAGAGAAACTAAATACTTGAGTGTAAATTTGAGAGATGGAAAAACGTGTTTTCTTCACTGTAAATCCTGATTTATTTATGTAATCATACTGAACAGTAAGCCAGCTTTAGTCGAGTCCAAATATGAACCGAAACCAGCAAATTATTTCTACATACTTGTTAAAAAACTAAATATGTAAACTCTTATTTTACAGCAACACAGAATTTTGCAGTAGTGTTGTTTAGGTTTTAAATTTCGTCATGTTTTGAAAAGAGAACTAACAAATGTAGAAAGAAGCAAAAGATCAACAGCTTAGAGTTCATTCGAGGCAAATGCACCTGTGATTTAGAAAAGTATGGAGAACAGATGACAAAAACACAAGGGACTTTTGCTAATCTTTTTGTGATTAACAAATGTAAACGAGTTGTTCAAAGATGTTGCATTCATTTCAGAAATCCTTTAAACAATCAACAGATGCGTAAAATTGTTGTCCTAACATGGGAGAACAATTCCAAAGCAAAGCAACTTTATGAATCAACGGTTTTTTTTTACCCAGCCAACTGCAATCACCATAAACATGCTAATATTTTTTCAGTATCAGAGAAAGAAGCAAAGATTATATTTTTTTCCACCCATCACCTTGTTGGGATTGACAATATTTTATTGAAAAAAAAAGTTTTAAAGCTGGCAATTTTTTTTAAAGATGCACAGTATGAAAAGTTTGCCTGTGATGAACTCACTGGGTGTCCATTCATGTCTTCAGTGGAAAAACACTGGCTTGGCGTTACTCCACCCTGCCAATCAGAACAGCCTTMCGATGTTAGTGTTTGTTGGGTAATGTTGAATATTAAAGCGCATGTGACATGCTTATCCTTCAAATACAAAAAGTCAAAGAAAAGATCTTTATATTCAAGAAACTTGACATAACGCACATGATTTTACCCATTTTGTCACATATTTTTTGTTATTTGGCTCAGCCAAAGTGAAACAGGAAGTGACATCAAAGGGGACTTATTTAAAAAGAAAACTCTCTGGTCTTTGTTTATTGAAACAATATTTTTCAACACTGATTTTTTTCATATCTCTCTGATGGTGATTAAAAATAATCTACAGAAACAGATTCTTCTCTACAATTTATATTGTGAGCTGTTGTAGCAATGCTCTTTTCCCACGCAGACATTCCCCTTTGACATCACTTCCTGTTAATTCACACGCCAATATCTCAATAATTGTACATCTCAGTGGCGTGAAATTAATTTGCAATATTTTATCAATGTTATCTTTCCAGAAATGCATTCATAGTTTTTACAAAAAATTGATGTCACMGGTACTTTAACATATACACACAAAAAAACAATAAAAAGTAAAAATGACCCTATTTATTGAGCCAATTGTTTCTTACAATAATTTTTGTAGTTTGTTTCCATTTCACATAAAGAAAATTGCAAATAAACTACAAATTAGGCAAGTCTTAAAGATTTTTACATTTTCTAAGCTAGGTTTTCCCCTCCAAGTCAGGATTAGGTCATTCTTTAAGGCCGACATGTTACTGTGAGTATTTGCAAAAGCTTAAACATAAATGTCTCCTGTAAAGTTTGAAAAAAAAAAAACAAACAACAACAAGAGAGGCTCTCAAGCAGAAATGTGGAGCAGACAAGGTGAGGTGTGGAAAATACAAACCTTAACAGACTAGTAGATACTCATCAGTGACAATCTGTCATATTTACAACACAAAACAAATGAGCAGCCAGTGTGACTATGATAGACAAGCAGTGAAAGCATTCTCATACCTACATATCATTAACACTTAGTATGGAACTTTACCTTAATSTTTGAAAAGCTATTTTAAGTGGTGCTCATTCCTACAACCCTAAAAAAAAAACTACTGATATGATGAAGTGTTTGCTATGTTTTCATCTGCTGAAGAAAAACAGAAAAAAATGATACACGAAGAAGATAAATGAATCAATGTTTCAAACTAAGTGCTTATCGCAAAGAAAAGCTACACAAATATTAAAAAAAACACAAATGATGGGTGACATTTTGGACATAGTCACAGTCAGTAATGTGTCACCATGGTTTCTCAGCAAATGAGTTTGTTTGTGCCAGTCCAACAAGGTCACAGTGTTGTTCTGAGCATCGTTATTAGAGGAAGCAGACAACAAACTTTAGAGGATTTTCTGTGTGCACACCACAAATTTGGCCTGGCCTCAAAAAGGAGGTAGAGAAAAGAAACAAAGTGTTTACCCGCAGTGGGTGGTCTACATTATAATAAAGCATGTGTCTATATTTAACAGAGAAGCCATTTTTATAGTCTGACAAAGTCTTGTTTTATTGTTTAAAAGTTAAAAGAGAAGTCTGCAGCACCGTGAGCTTGGACTGAAATGAAAATTACCCTCTTTGATTGGTGCACCTGAATGATGTTTCATTAATMGCTTCAAAGTGTCTGCTCATCTTCTTTTCAAATATTTAAATGTAATTGTTTTGCATYAGCCTTGCATGCAAAACAATTTTTATCAGCCTTGCATAAGTACCTTAATATACTGTACCTAATACAATACCCATTTTTAATATAATCTGAAAACATCATTATTCTTTTAAAATCTTGACTTTTCAGGGTCAGCTAATACGTAGGATTGCTGGGATTCAGARGCAAATTTCTCAAAGTGTGTTGTTGCAAGCTCACATGCAAACATTTGCTAAACTAGGACTCAGAGGAATTCTTGTTATTAAGTTATTATTTAATCAACATTCCTTACATGGACWTCAGAATGTATCTACTTTATCTGTCTGATGTGACACTTCTGAAAGCTGCCTGTCACAGTTGAAAGGTGGTGAATAATTGCTGGAARTATATTGAAAACCAAAGATCATTACAAATCAACTTGCCAAGCAAAAAATATGCAGCCTAACATCCAAACATATGGAATATRAAATGTTGCAAAAGTTGTTGGCACAAAAACGTGAACTCTGCCTCTCTTTTTGAGGGGAAAAAGCTGGTGAAGAAAGGAAAGAAAATCTTCAAACTGCATATTTCCACAGCAGAGGTCATACTTAAAAATATTTTTCTTTGTAGTTCAGGACAAATGGCACAATAGCAAGATTAACATGTTCATCTGATAAAGTTACAATATGAAGCAATGGCCCCCTTCAAGTGGAAGGCATCATTAAAAGGACATTAACTTATACTGGCCAAGAAAATAAAAAGTGTCATGTTTTATAATTAAATTCCATAAAGAACAGTTCTTAAAATTAGACATTAGAAACATAAATGTAACAATCAGAAACAGACTACCGACAGTGAGGCACARGGTTTATGGAGACGTAATGAAAAAAATGGCTTGCAAAATGAGTTGAACTGGTTTGACTGCCTGACTAACGATATGTTACTCAACATATCTGCTGTGGTGTTTTAATAASCTGGATCATTTTAATGCACAATTCTTAACAAAATTAAATGTACAAAAATAATTAGCCCCAACTGTCCATGGTTGAAATGTAAAAAGGTTTTCATACATGTGTGATAACTGTCAGAATGCAGATGCAACTATAATTTATTTRTCCGTAAAGTTGTTGTCACACAAAACCAACTCAGATAAATAGGCATGATTATACTAAATCAGAAATATTTACAAGCTGTTACCTCCCTTTAGTGTAGTGTAAGGTTGAACAAACCAAAGCAATTTGAATAATAATAATAATAATAATAATAATAATAAATTACAAAAATATCCTCTAAGCAAAAACTTGAATTAATGCATCTTTTACTGCTCATTGGTTTTTGTGTTTGACAGGTGAAGGAAATTTTCTAACTGATTGACTGAATGTTAGATCCAGTATTTTTATACTTTTTGATCATTGCAGCCACAAAGTTTAAAACAGAGAATGAGAGTGTGTCTTATTATGTTTTGTCTACATAAACAAAAGTTGGTTATGTTAGTATCTGACGTAAAAGATATAAACTCCAGTGGTGTAACCGGGAAGAGACATATGTTAAAAGGTTGAATCATTATATGGAATAGAAGTTTTTTTTTAGTTTTATCTCTGCATTARAGCAGCCTGGGTCAGCCTAGGCTCTGTTTTTTATATTCCGATAAGGTGAAGGTCATTTTACTCTGAGGCCAGCTGACTGTGTGCTGCTGGAGCCGAYTGAAGGAGAGACGTGAATAAAGTTTTTAGAAGAGAGTCAGCTGGTTTTCTGTGATATTATTCAGACTTYCATTTATTGATCACAAATTCCCTTCACAGGGAAAGTTATTACCGTTCCACATGTTTGTGGTAAAATGMTTACAATGAAGGAAGTCAGAGAACAAGGAGAAAAACAAAAGAGAAGACCAAAAAAGTTGGAGACTGTATCAAACCAAAGACAAGCAATAACCTTCTTTGTTTACTGTGAAACTGACTTAGTTCTTTACATTAACGCAATAAATATCATTTRTCTGTTGCTTTTCCGATGAACATGTCATTCACTATGAAGGTAATCAGTCTTTAAAATGAGACCAAACACAAATTAGTTACTGTAAAGATGACAAATGGGGAGCTGTATCAATAGCAGGTGAAATAATCCAGTGGCTATTTGTGTGCCACTTTACACTAAGGTTTGCAACATGCATTGAGAGGAAATAAAATCMTTTTTTAACCAATGCTGACGTCAACTAACAAAAGTGATCGAGTTGTTGGACATCTACATTTTCAGCTGAGAGGACRAACAATACCTCAGACATGATGAGGAACTTGCCAGCTTTTAACATGACTCAGTGTCAAAGAATAATTCCAGAAGAACACGAACAAAATGTTTTGAATAGTTAAAGAACAATATGGTGCCATCAAGACAAACACAGAGTTTCAGGTTATTCTTTCACTCAGCTCTACATACCTGCCATACCCCTTGTAACAACGAAACAAAAGGCTGCAACAGATGTGTGGATGTTTTTAAAAGACTGTCACCAACATCCGGAAATCTCATTCTTGGACACAGGTGAGGAAGCTAACCGTGACTCTTAGGGGKTTTTGTGGATTAAAATGGATTTCCAATAAAAAAAAATAAATTGCTCATTGCATCGTGTTCCCATTTTTCTGTGAGCATAGGTATGGTGGAGAATGAGAGCACACCTTTTATTATAAGTCAAGGACATCTAGAGAACAAGTTTTATCTGGATATTTAATTAGTAGATTAAATAAAAGGAATACTTGGTTATTGTTTGACAGCTGTGTGTTTTGTGTCCGGCAATATAGAGCTATGGTTTTAAGCCCAATGATTACATTTTTTTTAGGAATATGCAGCATTTAAAAAATCTATTCAAAAAAATAATTACAACAGAAAAAACCCTGTTAAAAATGCACGACCTTAAGCTTAAGTGGTGGACTGGTAAAAACCAGACCCTTGTACTTCACTTTGTACGAGGGTCGGGACTCTCGGCTATAGAGAAGCGATTCTTGCTGGAGGCGTGGCCTCTGCTGAAGTTTAAAATGATTGGATCGAGGGTCTGGACTCTCGGCTATAGAGAAGCGATTCTTGCTGGAGGCGTGGCCTCTGCTGAAGTTTAAAATGATTGGATCGGTTGGCCGCAATGTATGTCGCTGTGAAGGAGGCTAAGCTAAGACACTAACGGAAATTGCGTGCGCTGTAAACAACCCTACTGAGAGGAGAGAAGTACAGAGCCGGAGACAGCTGTAAATGAGAGCTGCTGCCTTGTCAGACAAATTTATTTCAATTTGGAAGCCTTATCAACACRGACTGGCTTCATTCACTTCCTCCACTGCCATTGCTAAACTAACTAGCAGAAACTGAGTAAAAAAATCGACGTTCTGTCCTCTGATTGGCCCCGACAAAAATTCTCCAGAAAAAAATCCTTCTCTATGGGAGAAATCCCAGACGGAGCAGTGAAGGGAAACTAGAAATGAGCGGAACTGCGTAGGAAGGCAAGGGCCAGGCTAATTAAGTGGCAGCTTTCTTATACTTTGTTCAGTGAGAGAAAATCAAAGGTTACTATAGCAATTGTGAGTCAGTGCATTACCTGGTGAGTGGGAGGATCAACCTTTCGCTTTTTGTTCTGGTTCTGCTTGTTGGTCCTGGGGTACACCGTCAGTGCTTCCTGCCACCTACAGATAAAAAGTATTGATAAAAGTTGAMATTCAGAAAATAAATTGATACATGACAGTCAAGAAGTAAGCTCCTCAAATGTATTTTCTAAGTAATTGCAACAAGCCTAATAATGTTTTTTTAGTACTTGTGCTGGCACTCTAACAGTGAGTATTCAAAYATAAATACTTGAATTTGATTTAAATGAAAATGTGTTTTCAGTGCATCCCTAATTCAACAAGATAGAACTCGACACCAAACGTCGCTGATGTCCCCTGTCACAGATGGACAGAGAGCATTTCTACGCCCCAATTAATTAAGAATGTCATTTAACTAAAAAGAAAGAAAAAAGAAGAATTCAGTCTACTAAACAAACCAACCCCCTCCCCCTTCAAAAAAGTGACACTTTAGTAGATTAGACCTTTTATAATTATATCAATTTACTGGACTTAATTAAACTCTGTGTTTCTAAAGCATAATTTTTTTATCTAACTACCACAATACTATCACATTTGTAAGATTCCACAGGCATACATGTTGACTTAGTAAACGTTATTAAAATGAGCTATAATTCCAATATTTTTTTCATCTGAGTAACTTTTTATTGGGGGCCAATAATGAAACAAGGCAAACTTTCTCACATAGTTTCCTTGAAACTTTGATTAGCCACACTCATTTATGATGATACAGATGTCCCTCTACTTCTCATTTTTCCAAACATTTGTGAATTAAATTTAGTACTTCATATATTAAATTTTTCATCAGAATAGTCAAGTTGTGACATTATTACACAACATAAATCAAGTAGAGAGTGTGAATAATTTTAAATAAATGAGTGCGAGGAAAGCTCTGTGTTCATAATTTAATGAGTCAAATGACATTTAAGAGGAACCTCTTAACTGGAAAAAAGGAAACTATATAACACAACACTTGCTAGTTAATGATAATCTTGAAAGGACAAGTATGGTTGTCTGAATGCCTAGAGCCAACACATGGACGCCAGATGACAGGAGCGTGGGAGGTGTTTGGTGACGGAGCAGGTAACATAATGAAGAGTGGGTGTTGAGAGTCACAGCTCTCTAAGAATAGCCATAACATGTAAGCTCCAGCCACGGAGAGAGATGGAAGCACTGAAACATTCTTCGTACAGCAGAGGCAAGACAAAGTTGAGTTGTGTTTTGTGCTCTATGTCTTGAAGTTTGAGGGTTTGTAAACACAGGAGCAGAGGCTGAATCAACAGAGAAAAGAAACCGCTCCAGAACGTGCACCGTCACTGCAGAGTGAATTCAAACTCTCTGAAAAGCACAGCCTGAAGCTGACAGCAGGGGGCAGAGCAGCTATGGCTGCAACAGTGGTTGGACACAACCATTTTTCTTCAGCTCTGTTAGGCTTTTACACTCATCTAATCAACTGTATTTACAGACAAACTGAGTTTTTTTTGCAAAAACATGCAGAAGGCTGTTCTAGCAGAAGACGGTGCCGAGGTTAAGGTGAGATAAGAGTTGATTATCTGTTGTAGTGAACTCTAAAGGGAGCAGCCAAAAGAAGTACTAACATTTAGCAGGTAGCTGTCTTACCCATTGATGATTTCTTTGCATTCAGCTCGAATGAAATGTTCTTTCTCAGGGGTGATGATGCACAGAGAGTTCTTCTGACCAGTCCTGGACTCACCATCGATGACATCCGAGCACTGGTTCATATTGATTGTCCCTTGGGGTAGAGTGCTGGTCTGGAGGATCACAAACAGACAGACGTGGCAGAAGTGTTAAGTTGAGAAGTGACAGGTCCTCAAGACCCTCCACATGGCGTGCCTTGACACAAAACCAAAGCCAAGCTTGATACAACATGTGATGATGCAACAGCCTGTGCACAGGCAAAACGTTCTTGCCGAGGCTTGCCTTAATATTTTGCAGCATTTAAAATGAAGAAYGCAGCTTATGCAAAAACGTGCAGCTTTGAAAAAATAGGCAGGGAAACTCTTATGCAACTACGATGACATGAGTATGTGAAATTGTATTTTAAGACTACAGTGATAACAGTGAAACCCTACATTCAAGAAAAACTGTGCRGCCACCTGATATGAGGTCACTAGAAAAGTAGAACAATGGGCTGATTATACTTGGTAGTGGACAGGAACAGATAACTTTGCTCYTCTGTGGAAACATATAAAGTCTTAGTTACCAAAGAGAAACCTGAATCATCATAATCCAGCCTTTATATAAAAAGGTATAGCACACAAGTGCACCAAGAATCAATTCTGTATGGTCACAACTAATGGGTAAAAGCTTGTTTGCAGAACTCCTCACATTTACAATCAAGATGGTATAAAGATCCTGTAACTGTACAGTATTTAACAGTTAGTGTCAGTCTCTGAAAAAATAATTATGGTTCCCTCTTCTTAAATATGTATTATTTTAATAACTTTCCTTTACAGGCACCAASTTAAATGTATCAAAGAGGACAAGTTCATGTTTGTCTTTTGAATTTTTTTTCTGATGCCTAGCTCTGAGGTTTAGACTCGGCTATGAACACTGTCATTGAAGCTGGCAGCTAAATAAACATAGCATGACTTCTAGAGTAACATTGCCTTGTGTTCAATGATTTAGGGTGTTAGATGGAGGTTTAAGTAAATACACAGTGGCTTTGAAAGCAAGTCCGGCTCATTTGCAATGAATAGACATCTAACAAGCAGTTAAAAGGAACAGAAATGTTGCATTTGATTGAAATGCACCAAGTGAGCCCACATTTATAAATCAGTTCTGACACCATTTGCAGGTTAGTTGTACTGAAACACATTTAAGTTACAGTTGAATCATAATTATGATCTGGAAATGCATTTTTTTTTACTACCACCTCAGACATTTAGGCTCAGTTTTCTTTAACCACATGTTTTATACCTTTGAGTCTCACAATCCAGAYAAAGACTTGATTCTGCTTTCATTTAGCTTCAGGTTAATTTTTGTTTTWTCTGTCTACAGTATGTTGTCGCAGAACTGATCTGGCTTTTCAAGRCATTGTGAAAAGTTCTTTTATCTTTTCCGCAAAAACAATTCTGTGATTTTTCACTATTGTCTTATGTGTAAATGTGTATATCCCTTTATATGCTGCCAAGCTGTATGGACTGTCTTTCTCTTCACAGTGTATTAAATCAATTCTTTATTCCTCCTAATGATCTTAATGTCTGATAGTTAAAAGGAAAAAATAAATAAATTTGCAAGGATACCATTCTTTACAAACAGAGGATTTATTAATGTTTGCGTAGTTCAGGATCAAAGTTTTCAAATGACACATTGCTACTGTAATATTTAACTTGACAGCTGCGATAAACAAGTAAAAAAAACAACAACAGCAGCTTTACAACTATGGTCATGTGAAAGACATAAGCTACTTATCTGGATACAAAGCARACCTAAAAGGCCACACCTAACGTCTACAATGAAACTAGCTTTCATTTTGGTGTTAATATATATACACATAAATAAAACCAAGCCCATAAGCAGAAAAAAAAGTGTCCCTGTCTAAGTAATTCCAAACTTTATTACAGTTGCAAAGGTCCATTTATGAAAGACATCACAGGAAAGAAAGAAAATAAAAAATCACTGCAAGTTTAGAAATGTTACTTTTATTTGGTCTGACCTCTAAATGACTTGTACAAGTCAGGATAATCTTATGTTGACTGAGGGATTTATATTTGTACAATGAGGTAAATGTGTACCATGTAGCAAAGTATGGGAATGGGTAACTTAACGGGTTGTCAGTCACTGTAATAATGCAGACAGAACAATAAAACACAAACACACACACACACACACACACAAACAAACACAAACACAAACACAAACACAAACACACACACACACACACACACAC